CCCAACCATCAATCAAGTTGGATTATTTCAACATTCTGTTTTTTCTTATGTTTTGGTTTTTGAATGTTTAATTTCTTTCTGTTTTTGGCTTTTCTTAGTGTGTGGAAACATGTGTTGGAAGACTAACTTTTTTTTTTTTTTGGATTTTGTGATGATTTAATTAACGGAACAAAGTTATCCTACTTCAATTTATTAAAAAAATAATTAAGAAATAAAAATATTTTCTATTAGAAAGTTTTTATCGTTATCTACATGAAAACTAATGACGGGGTTACTATGAGGGTATATGATAAAAAAATTGAGAATTAGCTCAATGTGCATCGAGAATAGCCAAAAAAAAAACTTACAAACTCGCTTGGTGTGAAGCGATTTTTGGGGGAATAAAATAGAGAGCAAATCGCTCATAATAAAAGAAGAAGTGAAAATCGCTCATAAGTCAACGAGATGATCAATTTTTTTATGTCGTTAACAGTAGTTGTAGCACAAATATATCTCGCCCCTTCTCTAGCAAAGTGTCCCTTTTGATTAAACAAAAATTGAATGACCCTTTATGCATTTTAAAGAAAAAGTGATGTTTTTGACTTCGAATTTGAAATTTAACCATCTCAATATAACCCATGAACGAATTTTAATATCAACTTTGAAATAAAAAATAAAAAAGGAAGATAATATATACTAACAGGGAACTACATGTGGATATTCCTCCCTTTGCAAGAATTATACCAAGCATTAGGATTTATATCAAAGCAAAGAAATAGTAGTGATCTTTTGCAGGGCAAATTATACATTTTATATAATATAACATTACAATAAGCATATTAGACCAAAATTATGGAATACCTAATTTTCATTGGTGGATAAATCAATGGATGGATAAATCTATTTAAACAAAAGTCATTAATAATTAAACTCAATTTGTAACAAAAAGAGAAAGAAATAGAAGATACATATATATGAGTTCGATTTTGAGGATTATTATATAACATTTCCTTATCCTAATGATGCTTTAGCTTATGGTCATGCTACTTGTAGTTCAAATGTAGAATATTCAGATTGTGATACTTGCAAAAGGATATTTGATGACTACTTGTGATGGTAGTATTGAAGGTCAAGTCGAATTTGTTGATTGTTCCATGAGGTAAGAACAATATTCCTTCAGCTAATAAACTAGAGCCTCCATATCTTTTGTTGTTACGATTCGTTGAGATTCAGTTCTTGTTCGATGGTCTTTTTCATATCTTTCCATTCATTGTTCTTCTTTTGTGGCCATTGGTTTAGGGTTGAAATTAAATAATTGAAATAATTGTGTTGAGTTTGATGTTCTTAATTTGATTTTGTAATGTTTATTTAAGTTGCAAAGTGTTTTTAGTTTACTATGAAGAAATTATACTCTTTAACATTAGAAATTGTGGTTCAATATATAGAGCATAAATTTATCATCAATTTCAGCAAGGCCTTGACAATTTTATACATATAATATGTCACACCCCAAAAAAAAAGTGCAACAAGCAATCAATATTTTTATCCCTCTTAAACTAACTAATCCAGGAATAATTATTCTCAAGGTAATTTATTCCCATCAAACGAGTCCTAAGAGTAGGGCTGTTGAAATCAAATAGAAATTGATAATTCAAATCGAAAAAAAATATTGGTTTATTGATAATGGGTTATTAATTTGGTGGTTTCGATAATGGTTTTGATTTATTTTATTATTGGGTTATCGATTCTTAACAATTTGAGATTTTTTCTTAATGGATTAACTAATAATCTGATAGTAAATATTAAATGATTACACTTATATCATTTGATATATATAAAATCTTTGACTTAGAGTTTAGTTTCATACTTTTATTTTTGTCTGTCTCATACTCTCGATTATTCTACAATGTGAAAGTGTTTGCTTTTAAGGAATGGTTCATTTAATGATTATTTTTGTGTCAAATCTTAATGGCTAAACCGATAATCGAACTGATTATATGATCAATAATCGATAAATTTAAGCTAATATATTTAATGGTTGTATAACAGTTTAGCAGGTCTACAGATCCATAATCGAAAAGTCAAATCAATAAACTTTAAAACATAATGGATTAATATGCATCACTGAGAGTGGTAATAATAGAAGTGTGCATCGATCGGTTCGGTTTTATATATTATCTTTTCGATTTATCGGTTTTTTATTTTTGATTTTTAAATAGGCTAAACAAATATCCAAACAAATAAGATATTTTTTATCGATTTTCAGTTTTGGTCCTTAACGGTTTGATTTTCAGTTTAACCAATAAGATATTTCACGAGTCTTCAAGTTCTTAAAGTCTTTCGTTGTGATCAGTAGAAAGATGTTGACCCTGTTGATTTAGTCAATATTCGAGAATTAAGCATGCATCATATTAAGAAATCTTACTCCCTAAACAATAATGATATTGCACTACTTAGACAAAGGCCACAATCTGAAATTCAATCCATCAATGCAAATCAAATATTCCATGCTTTTGGTGCTACTTGTTTTTAGTTTTCACTAAATATTCCTAGGAAACCATATTTTCATTGCAACATTTTCGACTCTTGCATTTCTTTCGAAGATGTTTTGAAAAATATTTTCTTGAGCCAAGGATTTTTTGAAAACAACCTCTCTTTCCAATAATGATAGAGATAAGGTCCAAGTACATTTCACTACTTGTGGAACTTTAATTTTCTAAATTTATTATTTTTATTGTTGTATTATATTCATAGGAAAACATACATGTCGAAAGTAATCATTTTTTTAAAAAACAAAGTAATTATGAATAAACTTTTTATATTTTTTTCTAAAGAAAATACTATTTTTCACTCACCACGTCAAACATCATAAAACATTTCTAAACAAATATTTTTCGTGAACAATATTTTTTTAGAAAATAATTTTGCACAAAATATGACTTTAATAGTACCAAACTATAACACCCCGAAATTTTTTTAAATTAAGACTCGAACCCTTCTTCGTTGTGAGTTGGATTTTACCTAGGAATTTAAAATTTCTTAAGTATAATGTCAGATCACTAGATATAGCACCTAGAGGTGCACTTGACGAAATGGAGGGAAGGGGTAATGGAAAGGAGCAAATCCGTTATATTCTTTGCCATCATCTATATTATTGATTAATTAGGTGGACCATTGTGTACAACACATATAATTATTACTTTAAAACTTTTCTCCATATGTATAATATAATTTTCCCACAAGTTGTGTAATGGTTGTTGAAGAAGCTTTAATACATATTTCATTTTCCCACAAGTTGTGTAATAGTTGTTGAAGAAGCTTTAATACATATTTAAAGAATGTACCTTTGGCTTAGCTTGCATCTTTTTCATTTCCTCTTGCCTCGTCTAGTCGTACTTCTTTCTTTCAGAAATCACATGCTCAGGTCTTTTTTTTTCTTTTTTAAGAGTAATGTTAAATAGACAAAAAAATTTAGTCATAATTTGATCAGAAATGTAAAAAGTCTATACTATCTTTATATCAATTTTACATTTATTCCCTTATTATTTTTTCCTTCAAAACAAAATCAACTTTTTTCTATTTTCCAAACTCCTTGAATTACTAAAATACAAACTCTTTAGCTGCCAAGGGAAATGAAAAATATTTTTGTGTATATTTTTTTTGTGTATGTATAGTTTATTCTATTTATTTAAAAATAAATATTGTTTAGTTACTTAAAAAAAATTGTACGCTTTAGTTAAAAAAATATTTTTGTAATTTTGTTTTTATACATTAATATTTTTTTCATTACTATACCATACAAATCATAGACGTATCTAGGGGTTCCGTGGGTTCACACTTCACGTGAACCCATGCTCCCCTTTGTAGATTATATATAATAGTGTTATATTTAAAAAAAAATATATTTAAATATAGAAGTGTGAACCACGTTAAATGTATTGATATTAACCATATCTAAAATATTTTGAGTTTTTAATGTCATTATTGGAATAATTTTAAATAATGTTTAAATATAAAAAAAATTAAAATAAATTTTTATAATGTGTCGATTTCTAACATATTGTTTGATCTTTATAAAATTTATTTGTTTTAATTTTTTATTAAAACAAAATTCATACAGGGATATATGATCCATCTGATATAGAAGTAAATTCATTTATTGAAACATAATTAATAAATAAATTAATAAGAATATAAATTTGACAAAGAAGGATATAATTGTCCGAAAGAAAACCAGTTTAGAGTGTGAATAAGTATTTGGGTCATTATGGCTAAAAGATTTTTCGTTTTTCTAAACTATTTATGTCTACTGCTTCTAAGTGCATGTTTTCTAAACTCTTTTCTAGATAAAAAACAATACTCCTGAAGATGGCTGATGCCTCTCTGTCATTTGCACTTCAAAAATTGGACAATTTCCTCGTTCAGCAAGTTTCCCTGCGTAAAAATTTGAGAAAGGAAGTTGAGTGGCTGAAAACTGAGTTACTCCTCATACAGTCTTTCCTCAGAAACTGAGTTGTGCAATGGGTGTTTGAGATCAACACTATTGCTAATGACGCTATTGCTCTACTCGACATTTACAACTTCAAGGTTGATAAAGGTGATAATGATAGATTTATTAGTTGTCTCAAGGCTTGCGCTTCCATATGTAGGAAGGAGAAGAAATTCTACAATGTTGCCGAGGAGATCCAATCACTCAAGCAACGAATCATGGATATCTCTCGCAAACGAGATACTTATGGTATTACAAATATCAATTGTAATACAGGAGAAGGGCCAAGTAATCTGCAGGTTACAACATTGAGGAGAACGGATGACCAAGATTACATTTTTTTTGGACTTCAGGATGTTGTACAAAAATTGCTAGCTCAACTTCTCAAAGCACAAGTCCTACTATAGTCTCTACCTTCCCTACACGCGCTTGGATATATGTTTCACAAGAATACAACACAATGGATCTTCTTAAGACTATCATAAAATCCATCCAAGGTTGCACCAAGGAAACTCTAGATTTGTTGGAAAAGATGGCAGAAACAGATCTAGAAAATCACCTTCGTAATCTATTAAAAGGAAGCAAATACCTTGTGGTGGTTGATGATGTGTGGCAGAAAGAAGCATGGGAGAGTTTGAAAAGAGCATTCCCAGATAGCAAGAATGGCAGCAGAGTTATTATTACCACACGCAAAGAGGATGTCGCTGAAAGAGCAGACAACAGAGGTTTTGTCCATAAACTTCGTTTCCTAAGCCAAGAAGAAAGTTGGGATCTCTTTTGTAGGAAACTACTTGATGTTCGAGCAATGGTTCCAGCAATGGAAAGTCTAGCTAAGGATATGGTGGAAAAGTGTAGAGGCTTACCTCTTGCAATTGTTGTATTGAGCGGACTACTTTCGCATAAAAAGGGACTAAACGAATGGCAAAAGGTGAAAGACTGCCTTTGGAAGAACATTATTGAAGATAAATCTATCGAAATCTCCAGCATACTATCATTAAGCTTCAACGATTTGTCAGCTGCGCTCAAGCAGTGTTTTCTGTACATTGGTATTTTTCCAGAAGATGAAGTGATCGATGCTGAAAACATAATACGTTTGTGGATGGCAGAGGGTTTCATCATACCCAGAAGAGAAGAAAGAATGGAGGATGTCACTGAAGGCTTCTTGAATGAGCTGATAAGACGAAGCTTGATACAAGTGGAAGATACATTTTGGGAAAAAGTTACTGAATTTAGGGTTCATGATTTACTCCGTGATCTTGCCATACAAAAGGCGTCCGGCACAAACCTCTTTGACATTTATCATCCAAGAAAGCACTCCAAATCCTCTTCATGTATCAGACTTGCTATTCATAGTCAAGGAGAAAGGTATCACTCACTTGATCTTTCTAATTTGAAGTTGAGGTCAATTATGTTCTTTGATCGAGATTTTCCTAATGTGTTCCAACATATAGATGTGTTTCGACATATATATGTGTTGTACTTGCACATTAATTATGGTGGTGTTATACCTGATGCCATAGGGAGTTTGTACCATCTCAAGTTCTTAAGCTTGAGAGGTATCAATGACCTTCCGTCTTCCATTGGCAACCTCAAGAATCTACAGACACTTGTTGTCAGTGAGGACAGATACACTTGCCAACTACCCCGCGAGACAGCTGACCTAATAAATCTAAGACATTTAGTTGCTCCATATTCAGAGCCTCTAAAATGTATAAACAAACTCACGAGTCTTCAAGTTCTTAAAGGCTTTCGTTGTGATCAGTGGAAAGATGTTGAACCTGTTGATTTAGTCAATCTTCGAGAATTAAGCATGGATCGTATTAGGAACTCTTACTCCTTAAACAACATTAGCAGCTTGAAAAACCTTAGCACTATCAGATTGCTTTGTGAAGGTTCTGAATCATTCCCATCCCTCGAATTTGTTAATTGTTGTGAAAAGCTCCAGAAATTGTGGTTAAGAGGGAGAATAGAGAAACTGCCTCATCTGTTTCCAAATCCATCACAATGTTGCTTCTTTGGGACTCAGTACTGACAGAGGATCCGATGCCTATTTTGGGAATGTTACCAAACCTAAGGAATCTCCAATTGATTTGGGCTTACAAAGGAAAAGAAATAATGTGCAGTGATAACAGCTTCAGTCAACTCGAGTTCCTTCGTCTTTATATTCTTGTGGACCTAGAAACATGGCATTTAGGCACAAATGCTATGCCTCTCATTAAAGATCTTGTTATCGAACGTTGTCCAAAGCTGAAGGAGATTCCAGAGAGAATGAAAGACGTGAAGCGTACTTGATAATAGGAAAGGTAAATATACAAACAAATCCCAATCCTACATAACATTTCTTCATTTTCTCCTTTTTATATAAATAATATTTGTGTTAAATCAACAGAGAAGAAGTTGCACTTGAAGACATTCACCTTCATCAACTTGGCTTCGCCAACCATCAATCAAGTTGGATTATTTCAACATTCTATTTTTTTTTTGGACCAAAGTATTGACTACAAAAGTATTTTTGGATCAAATTACAAACGGATGATACTTTGTTCCTTTCACATAGTTTAAGGGCATTTTTAACTCTTTTCCCTCTTTTATATAAATAATATTTGTGTTAAATCAACAGAGAAGAAGCTGTCACTTGAAGACATTCACCTTCATCAACTTGGCTTCTCCAACCATCAATCAAGTTGGCTGTTCTTTCTTATGTTTTATTTTTACAATGTTTAATTTCTTTCTGTTTTTGGCTTTTCTTAGTGTGTGGAAACATGCGTTGGAAGACAACTTTTTTTTGGATTTTGTGATGACTTAATTAACGGAACAATGTTAACAATGTTCTTAAATCATATCATATTATACTAAAAGTCGGAAGCCACAAAAGTAAAAGTTGAAATACTATTTTAACCTATCTTAATTTAAAATGTTATAAAATATCTAAGCAATTAAATATTAAATAATAATTATATAATATTATATTATATTAAATACTAAAATGAAAACGTGTTTTAAAACGCATTTTAAGAATGTCTCTCCATTCTCCAACATAACTTTTGAGCTTTCTATAGAATTCTAGGCAAACTTTTGGCTTATAAAGATCATGTGCATGAGTTAAAATTATTATTGACAAATACATAAGCTAATTCGTCTTTCAAAGCTTAGAAGAAAAAAGAAACTGATTTCATCAATTACAGAAAATGCTTAAGCATGGTGATCGCCGATTAAGGTAGAAGGTTGTAGTGGAGTGTTCTCTTACTTTCTGAAGGGTTTAGGCTTAATGGTGTTTGTCATAGTAGTACTTTTATTCTTGTACTGTCTTGCTTTTGCTTTCTACCACCAATTGTTTTTATGGTGTTTCGGTTATTGCACATTTTTTTTGTTATTGTTTTCGTAATAGTTGTTATATTATATTATATTCTCTTCACTGTCATTTTTCTTTTTCATATTTACTCTGATTTGCTATACTCGACTCAAGTTAAGGGTCTTTAGAATTGAGGTAAGGTCTATGCACACCCTACACTCCCTAGACGGATTTCACGAGATATGTTATTATTATAAAAGAAATAGCTATAAAATCAGACAACAAATTTAAACGTTTGGGCTGAATTGATAAATGTACATCTGTTTTGATTTGTTAGCAAGTTTTGTCAAGAAATATGTTTATTCATCCTGTTTGATAAGTTATTGATAATTTTTAAGATTTCTTTTGTCGTTAAATTTCAATTCTCTTAGTTAATTCAGTAGTTAGAGGTATTTACATGCACTTCCAGTAATCTAGAGCATGAAATTCAATCGGCATATTTCTATATACCATTATGGGGCTATGTGATATTGATTTTTTTTTCACGTATTTATTGCTAGATGGTAATTGTGTTTGTCCATTTTTTTGAGTTTATTTCTATTCAGCAAATAAATAACTAAAGTAATGAATTACAGTAAACACAATACAAGTTCAAATTTTAAATGGTGTCTCCATATCATAACAACAAATATTTTCTCAAATGACATAGCTTTTAAAATACATTATTGATTTAGTATTTTGTTACACAAATTTTATAATAAAAGCTGAAAATATATATGCAATGGATGTTCCATATATATATACTAGATAGGTATGGTCCGTGCTAGCATGGGCCCAACATTTTTAGTTTTAAGGTGAAAGGCATGTGGTTGTTATTTTTAGACTGTTTTTTAGAATATTGATAAATTAATTATTGTTTAGCATTGACTCAAATTTCAAACAACTATTTGTCTATTTGAGTTTTAAGTTTCAAGTCATATTGTTCTGAAGTTCAGTGTTTCATGTGCAAAATTTCATAATTTTGTATCCTCATGTTCATTTCTTTAGTTTAATATTTCAGATGAGTTTAATTTTTCAGTTCAAATTTCAAGAAATTGTATGCCAGCTCGCTGGGTACCAATTCAAAACATCATGACAAATGTCCAGACTGTTAGACAATTGGCATTTTTTCCAGCTTATTGTTTTTTCTGTTTTGTTACTATTTTTTACTTATTTCAGTTTAGTGCTTCCTATTTTCTAGCTAGACTTAGTCAACTTTAGTTGCTAAACTTTCTGAAGTTAGTGGCCCCTTTAATGGCTGTTAGTGGCCCCTTTTATGGTTGTTAGTGTCTACTAGATAGGAAATGGTTAGGTTTTTCCTTGTATAAATTCAGATCTTATGCAAATTAATATATAGCTGGAATTTCATAAGTTCACACAATTTTTATTCTTCAAATCAGTTTCTTGAGTATTTTTGTTCTAACAGTGGCATCAGAGCCTCTAGTTGATCTTACAGGACCAAAGAGTGTTAACCTACAACACAAATGGCATCCAACAACCTACCTTTAAATCCACCATTCACTTTCACCGGTGAAAATTACCAAATCTGGTCTGTGAAGATGCAAGCTTTTCTGGAAGCCTATGAACTTTGGGAAACTATGACGGAAGATAAACCATTTGCTGCTCTACCAGCAAATCCTACCTTGGCTCAAATCAAATCCAACAACGAAGAGAAGGCAAAGAAATCTAAAGCCAAGTCGCTTATGCAGAATGCTGTGGCAGATTCTATGTTTTACAGAATCATGGCTTGCAAAAGAGGCTTGGGATAGGTTGAAAGAAGAATATCAAGGCAGCGATAGAACACGTCAAATGCAAGTGTTGAACCTAAAAGAGAGTTCGAGTGCTTGAATATGCAGGACGATGAAACAATCAGTAAGTATGTTGATCGAATCTCCTTAATTGTTAATAACATTAGACTTCTTGGTGAAGAATTCACAGACAAACGAATTGTGGAGAAAGTTCTTGTGACTCTTCCTGAGAGGTTTGAATCTAAGATTTCCTCTCTTGAAGAATCCAAGGACCTGGGCAAACTTTCATTAGGTGAACTAATGAGTGCTCTTCAAGCACAATAGCAAAGGAGGACTATGAGACGGGACAAGTTCACTGAAGGAGCTTTCTCTGTACAAAAACAAATATTTGGTAAAGGAAAGCAACAGGTCAACCAAAATAATAAGGGCAAGCATGATGGAAGAAACAATAGTGGAGATGTGAAGAAGAAGTTCCCTCCGTGCAAATATTGTAAAATAACTACACATCTGGAGAAGTATTGTTGGTGGAGAGTCGATGCTATATGCGGCAACTGTAAGCAGACGTGGCACATATCCAAGGTCTGCAAATCAAGAGCAAAGGCCTCTGGTTCTTTGCAAGCACAAGTAGCAGAAGCTGCGGATGCACATGAGGAGCAACTCTTTGCAGTTTCATACTTTTCAATCAATGAATCCTCTGATTCATGGTTTCTTGACAGTGGTTGCACACATCACTTGTGCAATGATGCTGAAATGGTAAAATTCCTTGATGATACTTACAAATCTAAAGTAAAAGTGGGAAACGGTGAGGTAGTAGAAGTCAAAGGCAGAGGTACAATGTCTATCTCAACAATATCAGGTATCAAAACTATTCCTGATGTTTTGTACACACCTGATATAAGTCAATATTTGTTGAGTGTTGGACAAATGCTTGAAAATAATTATTCTCTGCATTTTAAGAATCGTGAATGTGTTGTTTCGACCCTTCTGGAGTAGAATTATTTTATGTCAAGATGAGCAACAAAATGTTTTCAGTTGATTGGGAGAAAATAACTGACCAGGCTTAAACTATTACTTCACAAACATGTACAAACCTATGGCACAAAAGGTTTGGTCACTTCAATCTGAGAAGCATCGTAGAGATGAAAAAGAAGGAGCTAGTGGAAAATATGCCTGAATTTCTTTCTAATGCTCAAGTTTGTGAAACTTGCCAATAGGGAAAGCAAACAAAATTGCCATTTCAAGCAAATCAAGTATGGAGAGCTAACCAGAAACTTCAGCTCATTCATACGGATGTTTGCGGCCCAATGAAAACAGATTCATTAAGTGGTAACAAATATTTTCTCCTCTTTATTGATGACTACACCAGAATGTGTTGGGTTTATTTCATTAGACTAAAGAGTGAAGTCTTTGATGTTTTTAAACAATTTAAAGCTTTAGTAGAAAATCAATGTAATCTTAGTATTAAGGCTTTAAGGTCTGACAATGGAGGAGAATATACTTCTTTTCAGTTTGTGGAGTTTTGTAATAGCACAGGTATTGAAAGTCAATTGACATTGCCATACACTCCTCAACAAAATGGCGTGTCTGAAAGGAAGAACAGGACAGTAATGGAGATGGCCAGATGTCTTTTGCTCGAAAGAAAGATCCCAAATCAGTTTTGGGCGGAGGCAGTCAATACCTCTATATATTTGCTGAACAGATTGCCTACTAAGGCCTTGCAGGACATGACTCCATATGAAGCTTGGTGTGGGAACAAACCATCAGTACACCATCACAGAATCTTTGGGTGTATATGTTATTATCGAGTTCCAGAAACAAAGAGGACTACGCTGGACAACAAGGCTCATAAAGGCATATTTATGGGCTATAGTTCATTCAAAGGTTACAGGATTTTCTGTTTGAGATCAGAAAAACTAATTCTCAGCCGAGAAGTGAAGTTTGATGAAGCAGCTGGTTGGGATTGGAAAAATTAGAAGACCTCTTATTCTGATTTATTTTCAAAAGAGCAGCCTCAACTTTCAAAAGATGAACTAGTGGATGATGTACCAGTGAGGGGAACTCGATCCTTAAAAGATGTCTATCAACGGTGTAACTTGGTTACCTCTGAACCAACAAGCTATGCTGAAGCACAAGACTCTCAGGCATGGAGGAGAGCTATGCAAGATGAACTAGACATGATCGAGAAGAACGGAACCTGGCAGCTTGTTGACAGA